ATAGATATTCCTTTCGTTCAGGTGTAATAATTAAAAAATTCCAATATGAATGGTTTTTACCACTATTCCATCCATTTAAAGCTTTTTAAAATAAAATTATATTAAAATATATTATATTTTTTTGATTTTGATAAAACAAAAAATAAATATATTTACATAATGTTAAGTTTTCTTGCTGCTCTAAATCTCTATTGATTTTGTTATTAATAATTGACATTTCTTTTTCCAATAAATGTTCAGCAAGATGTTCACAGGTTGGTGGTTCATATGCAGAATTAAGTTCTTTTAAAAGATCCTTAAAAAATGGATGTTTAATAATTCGCCAAGATATACCTGCACACGTAAAAGCTTTTACAAGTGCGCGATCAATCCTTTCTACTTTTCCCTTTGGTAATTTAACAGGACCCAAAAAGGCATCCATTGTTCTATAGACAGCTTTACTTTTTTGTTTTCTTTGGCTATCATTATTAATATTACGATTAGCTGTTATATTTAAATATTTACGAATAACTGAAGGTTCTGCCTGAATACAATAGTTTGCTAAATGTTCTTCCATTATTGCTAGTTCACTTCTTGTCCAAAATTTCATACAAGCTTTACATGTTGCTTCATAACATCCAAAAGCCTTTTCATTTCCTTTTATAAAATGTTTCCAAATATCCTTTTCCAGTCTTCCGCCAATTTTTCGATTTGCATCTTCATTGCTGCTCATTATTATGATAAATGAGTTGCATTAGATAAAATTAAAAGAAAAAAAAAAATAGTTCTTTATATATTCTATGATTTGTGATATGATAAACCTGTTAAAACCCGTCAAATTTAATTAGAATTCGCAAAGTTATTATCAAAACTGTCAAAACTTTCGAGACTCATCGAAACTTATCGAAATCCGTCGAAACTATCAAAATCTGTTAAAACCCATCAAAACTGTCGAAACAAATTCTGAAAAGTTTCAACTTTTGCCAAAATAGGTTTAGGGTTTTACCCCGCAACTATAGCTGCAGCTCAGCTTGTTGACTTGTATTTTCTTCTTTTAAGAAAATAATTTCAAAAGTAGTTTTTCTTTGAAAAAAACAGTCCTAGTGACGTTTCCTTTGAAGAAAAATACATTCAGCAGCATTTTTTTAAAAAAAATTGCTCTGAAAGTAAAGTCCTTTAAGGAAATCATCCTGAAATAAAGTCTTTTAAGGAAATTATTCTGGAAATAATTCTTTCAAGGGAACCATTCTGAAAATATTTCTCTCAAAGAGAATTATTCTGAAAATATTCTTCTTAAAGAGAATTGTTCTGGAACTTTTCTCTTGATAAGAATTATTCTAGAAATGTTCCTTTTAAAGGAAATTATTCTGGAATTTTTCTTTTAATAAAAATTATTTCAGAAACTTTTCTTTCAAAGAGGATCATTTCAGAAATGTTCTTCTTAAAGGGAATTATTCTAGAATGTTCTTTTCAAAGAAAATCATTTTGAAAACGTTTCTCTTAATAAGAAACATTTTTATTTACGATTTTTTATTTTTAAATATAAATGTAAGCTAAATAAGTCAGCTTATAAGTCGCATTGGCTTAGCTTAGCTTAGTTTGTCAATTAATTTTCACAAGCTGAATTGAGCTGAAAAAAAAGTGACTTAGCTTGAGCCAGTGATAATTCAAACTAAGCCAGTTTATGCAAAGCTTTAGTTTACAATAATTATTTTAAATACTTTTAAAGATATAATTAATAAATTTAAAGAATTTACTATAATTTCAATTTAAAAAATTTATTATAAAGAAATTGAATTAGTGTTTAGTATGATACAAGTCTTTTAGATTAATCTTTTATTATTAATGAAGGTTTACAGATTAAAAATCTTAAAGTATTAGAGATGTATTGTATTAATTTATTAACATTTTTTTTTAAATTAAAATTTTTAAGACTGATTTTTTTTTTTAATTTTATTGAGAAATAAAAAATAAGATCAATTACATTTTAAAATTACTTATCATTATATAATAAAATTTTTATTAAATGTCTTTGGAAGTTAATTATTTAACTTCTTTCAAAATATATTTATTAAATAATAGAATATACAAATATTTGTGTATATCTCTAGTAATTTGTAGAATTATCTGTAAGTATTATTTTAGTATATATTATGAATTTCAGATGCATAATTTTCATATTAAATTTCTTAATAAATATTGACTTATTTTAAATTAATTGATTATTAAAAATGATTATTTTATCTTGCTATAAAATTTAAAAATGAATCAGATTTAATTTTAATCTTAATATTATACCTGATTTTTTTAACTTAAGAGATAAAAACTTTAACTTTAATAATAATTAATATATTTTTCTTAAAAAATAGTAATTATATTATGTTAATATACAAAAGATTAACTAATTAAGCTAATTAGAGTACTTTCAAGAGTTGTAATTAAGGTTGCTTGTCTAAACTCATTTTGGATTTGATAAAATGTTTAAACTATAGTTTTGCTATTTTTTTACTAAGATTTTAATATAGTTTTGCATTTTTATAAGCTTTAATATAGTTTTACCTTTTTCAGAATTTCACAGATTTTTAATAAGATTTTAATATAATTTCGCTAAATTTTATCTTTTTTTATTTAAATAACTTGCAAAACCTTTAAGTTTTGTTCAGTAACCTTAGTTGTAATAAATCTTTTATTATTTTACTTGAGAACTATATTAACAAAAAAAAAATAAGAAAACATTAAATTTACAACCTGATGAAAATTAATATCAAGTTATTATTAATGAGTAAAAAGTTGATCAAAAAAATATTATTCTAATTAAAAATCTTATATTTTATTATTCTAGAGAAAGACCACTTGAAATTACAAGATTTAAGAAATCTTTATAGATTTTAACTTAACATAATAAAGTTTCTATAGATCAAAATATAACTTATGCAATAAAATAAATATTATCTTATTATTTATTTAATAATCAAAATTAAAAAAAAATATAATAATGTTTTAAATTAATTCAAATTAATATGATAAGTATTAAGTTAAAAGTATTAGATTTGAAGATGTATTAGAGTTTAAGGTTAGAATTAAGTTAAAATTAAGTTGGTTTATTTAGAATTAAAATAAAACTTTTAAACTTAATTATTTTATTAATTTTGTAGACATGATTTAAAATTCAAATTTGTATAAAAGATAATATTTATCTATAAAAATTATTTAATATATATTTTATAATTATTTACAAGTAAATTTATATGTATTATATAGGATACATATAAAAAAATATATATGTTATTATTAATTTCTAATAAATTTTATTTTATACGTAAAAGTAATAAAACTTTTATAATCTATTTATTTCTATATTTGCATAGATACATAGAAAAATCTGTTTATATTATATATAAAAGTTAAATTAATAATTAAAATTTTAATCAAATTTTTAAATATAATTAAAATAAATAAAAAATATATATTATATATAAAATTTTTTAAGATATATTTATTAAATTTAAAATAAATTGTAATTTAATATAAAATATTATATAATTTTAATAATAAAAAAAATTTCATTTTAATAAAATATTTTTTAAATCAAACTTTTCAAAATTAATATTTTATACTATAATAAAATTCATATTATATTTTAAATAAATCAATAAAAAAAAATAAAACTAATTATAAATATGTTTATAATTTTTACTATTCAAGAAATATTTAAAGTATTATTATATAAAATTATATTTTTAATATTATTATTCTTTTTAATTTAAATGAAATTTTTGAAAGGATTTTTATGATTTTATTAATGAGTTAATAAGCATAAAAAAATAAATTAAAAATTTTAATATCTTATTAATTTAAATAATTTAATTATAATTTTAAAATAATTAATATTATAATATTATTTTTGTTTTTTTTATTTTGATTTATATTTATCTGAAAAAAATTCTTACTAAACTGTTATTAGAAAATAACTTTTATTATTACTTTACATCAATTTAAAATAATAATATATAATTTAAAATAAAATAAAATATAATTAATTATAAATTAAATAAAATTAGAAAATTACTTTTATATTTATTTTAATAAATGTAGATTTAAATTAAAGTTAAATAAATTATTTTTATATTTAATAAATCAGATGTTTTAATGCTTTTATTATTTTAAATTCAAATTTTATATTTAATTATTAAATAACTTTCTATAATAAATGATTTAAAAAGTTTTATATTTATATTAATCTTTACTTAACATTTTAATTTTAAATTTAATATATTAGATTTGTAAAAAAAAATTATTTATTCTTTTAAATAAGAATTTTAATAATATTATTTTATATCATTTTAAATAATTAAAATACTGTTTTATTTAAAAACAAAAATTTGTATTTTAATGGTTATTAAATATAAACTTCTTCTATAAATCTTTCTTTATATATATTAATAAATATCAATTTACTCTTATAGTTCATGCTATTTATGTTTCAAATATTGATCAATGATTTCAGAAATTTTGATAATATTTTTAGGTTAATCATTTATATTTAACTCTAAAATTAAACTTATTATGAGAATGTAACTAGAGGCTAGAGTTAATCATAAAGATAAATAGCTATTTATCACCTTGCATTACGTCCTTCTATTTTCGTTTTACTAAGTAAACTCAAAAGTTTTATATTACAAATTTATTTGTCTCCTTTTAAGTTTCATATAATGCCTAATATTATAATCATTTATAAAAGTGATAATTAAGCATATTTTATTAAATATTAAGACAATTAAATCATTTAATCTTATATCAAACAAATTTACATATATTCTATCCGAAAGAATATTTTTGATAGTCTGTAAAGTTTTACTTTGAGAATACATTGAACATCATAAGATATAATAGTCTTTGCTAATCTGAATAATCCCCAATCACGTAAGTATCTGCGAAATCATTTAAAAATAAATTCAGAGTAAACTGATAATATAAATCAAATTACTATAATAATAATAAAAATATATAACCTACAAAATTTATTCTTCCATCATTTCGTTATCGTTTTCCGTATCATCTTCGTCTTCCTGATCATTTGTATCAAGTATAATTATTTTTTTTTTATCTTCACTTAAGATACAAGCTAATCCTCTTGCACCATTGGTTGTTAGTTTTAACGGTTTAAACTGTGAAATCACCCGATATTTTTGTACTAAAAGAGGTGAGAATTTTTCCAAATTCTTTTTGGGAAAAAATTCAATAAATCAGAATAAACAATCCTTATATATTATTATAGGTATATTATTATAAGTATACCTTTTGGTTTAATACTTGATCAACAACATTGATTCTTTTTGAATATTCTATCGCTTGTAGTACTGTGCGTGGTTCGATAACTTGTATAAAGTTTAGTTCTGTGTAATTCACTTCTACTATACAATTTACTTCATTTTCTATAGTTCCCATAAATGAAATAAAGTCGGTTATTTTATATGATATATTATTATTTAATTAACATAGAAATTAACCTGATTCATCAAGCCCAGTTATGATTAAATGCATTTTCTCATCATCAAATAATTGCATATCTGTTATTATAAGATACTTATTTTGTTGCTTCTGATTTGACAGTTCGATAACGGAAATTTCACTGGTTCGTTTATCAAGAGATTTTTCAGAATTAAATTCCAGATTTGGTGTATTTTCAGATTTTAATGATGATCGGAGAACCCACACTATAAAACACATTTAAAATAATTATGTTACTATCAATGAATAATTTAAGAAAACAAAGCGAGAAAGATTTAATATAATACAGGATGGTGGTGAATATTGAACTGATCCATATAGGCAAAATGCAACGTATAAAATCGGTTGATATTCCTATTGAATTAATGAGAAAATTAAAAAACTATTGATGAATTTGGTATCACAATTATTTCCTCACCTTCATTACGATTCGTGTGTCTAACACTAACGATTGAGTTCCTTCTAAACTCTCGTTATTCATGAAGTCATAATTTATAAGATTATCAATTATGTACAAAAATTCTTCTGCCTTAACCGAATTAACAACATTATATGCTGTTGAGGTAGACATTTTATTACATCGTAATATTAACATATCAACAAATGATTGAAACGTTGGAGGAAACCAATCTTCTTTCTGACAAGAAAAAAAGTCATAAGGATATGCGGGTGCGGCTGCCTTAATAGAACTTTCTATATATGACTCGGAACTTTTAGGTTCAAATGAAAGGACTAGTGGATCACCTCCATCATAAAGATCCATTGAGGCAGCATTTGGGAATTTAACATCAGGTAAAGAAATTTCTACCGTCTCTGATTCTGTGAAATAACTATCCAAGAAATCCATATGCAAAGAATTCTTTATATAAGAGGCAATCTTACTAATGTTGGTGAGTGGTGGTGTTTCATGGGTTTGATTATGATCTATTGAACCTATATTATCGAATTCTAAATAATAATATAAATAAATAAATTATCATTTCATTTTCATATTAAAGACTTAAGTACCGTACCATATTGAAGCCACTGCTGGAATTCCATAAAACTTGTGTACTTTTCATCAATTATATTTAACACATCTTCAAGACGGTTAACAAGACATCCAGTAGAAATTATAATAGAATGAACATATGACTCAGACAATCCAAGACCCTTGAACTTTTGCTGCCTTAATTAGTAAAACGTTATTGAGAGTAATGATAAATAAATGGATAACAATCTCAAATAAATCAAAACCAATAGTGCAAGGAAAATACCATTTACAATATCCAATCAGTGTGCTCAATTGTAAAAGCAGCCTTTCGCAACCTGGCCTAATATAATGATGTATATATTCACGAATTTGTTCAAAAGACTTTTGGCCTTTACTTTCCCAATCCTTCAGCCCCTACAGTTGTAAAATGAAAATCAATCAATATTAGATTTATTACAAAAAAAGTTATGCTCAAAATTTACCCTTTTGGTAAGATGCATTTCCAGATATTTGTGTAGCAAAGAACTCGGTTTTCCAGAGGCTAGATAATGAATAAACTCTGCAGACAATTTCGAGTTAGCTTATGTTTACCATTAAACATATGATATTAGGTTAGAAATTGAATTTGAATAATAATATATTTTTTAATTAATAAATTTCATATACCATTACTTTCTGATAGTACTAATTGAAATTTATCAATAAATATCTTTGCGTTTGCTTTCATACTTTCGTGTTCTGCCTTGATCTGTTTCATGCCTTCAAATATATACTCTGTCAAGTATTTGATAATAGTATACGTTTGAGATAAAGTTCTTATTTCATTTTTATGCGTATAAAGCAATCCCGTGTTAAGAGTAATTTCAACTAATCGTTCATTTGCTGAAGTTTTGGTTACCACGGATGTATAACTTGCGAGAACCAACAATGTGATGTGAGAGAGGTCTGGTGTAACTGAAGCATTTATAATCTTCACGCTCTAATTAAAGAAATTCCATTTAATAACTTCGCTCTGATTGATTTTATATCGATTGATGTAATGATAATATTAAAGAAAAAACTACAAGCCTGCGACTTTATATAATTAGATATAGATATAGGCAGCAATTGATATATGCCATAAACGCTAAGTTAAAAATTTTGATGATGAATAAAATTCCTTATTTTCATAAAATAAAATCCATGAATGAAAGAAATGGAACCTTAGATGTAAGTTCCCGGACGTGTCTCCCGCTATAAGTAAATCTATAAGATTAGATATTTCATTTTCAATCTCATCTTCATGAGATTCGTTTATGTTTCCCAACAGATTACTAAAAATTTTTAAAAGAGTTAAAATATTTCACTAGATTATTCCGAAGCAAAAAAAAAAATAAAATAAAAGGTCAAACATACCTACCTTATTGGTTTTGCACGCGGAATTGTGCTAAGTTTAGGTAAATACCTCTGTATAGGATGTGTACTAATATAATTGATCTATGATAACCAATTCAAGGTCGAACAAAATCATTATCAATAAATTTAAGGATAAAGAAAAGACAAATTTTTGAGATTAACAACGACCTGTTGTTCGTTCACGTTTTCACTATCATTTTCATTCTCCTGAACCCAAATCAGAAAATTTATTGCAGATGGTTTTATTGATTCAAATGAATGTTGCGGATCAATAGGTTGAGGAAACAATTCATGTATCATTTCCAGTTTATCAACGTTATATAGTCTAATAGCTCCGCTTGAATATCCTAATGCAATTACTTTTCCTGATAATGTTCAAAATTTTTATTCCACAATTCAATAAATTATTTAAAATAATAATTAATGCTAAATTGTTTATCTATCCTTTTTTAAACATTAATTTATTAAAACCTTTTAAAATGCTACAAGCTAAAAGCCATATATTATTCTAGATTATTACCGTCGGGTCTCCACGCTAATGCCTCTACTTTGTCATTGCCATGCTTTCCAGCTGGCAAAGTCCAAATTTTTTCTAAGGCACTAAACCACCTAGCTACCCAAACGGAATCTGTTTCAGTACAAACTGCAAGCAAATCCATTGTTGGGCACATTGATATTAATTTTATAGGTTCATTAACACCATGTTGATTCATTAATCGAAAAGCCATGTGAGAATCAATTTCATGTTGAAATATCATTTTTTCTTTCCCTTTTTTTTTTTTGCAAAAACAAGTTATTTACGCGTTTCTTTGAGAAGTCTAAAATTATGATCATCGTTACACAATCATTAATTAAGTGGCTTAGCAAATTGCTTTAAAAGTTTTTACAGTATTAATAAAACAATAAAACTAGAACTTATTTTTCATATTAATAAAAATTTAAAGTGATATATTTGCTTTGCTAGGAAAATGGGATTCGAGGAATTTTTTTGTTTTTTATTGCATTTTAGTTTTTGATATTATTAGATTAAAATGTAATAAGATCTTAATTTTAGTCAAAGTTTTCAGAGCTTCATTTTCCTAGCAAACTTTTCATATACATATATTATATTGCTTTAAATTATATTATTCCAATTTATTTAACATTAATATTTATCAATTTTATAAATAAGCAAACTCTAAAGTTTAAGTTAAAAATATCGTTTGATATGATAATAAACTAATAGTTTTTTAATCTCTTATTTATTAGTTAGTTCTTTTTTAAATAAATTTTATATTATAGTAGAAGTTTTATAAGTTATTTTAGAATTTACAGATGTAATTTTTTAGCATTATTTTTTTTTATAATTTCTTTAAATGTAAAATACATATTTTGTTTTAATTAAATATTAATATATAATTACTTATATTTATTATTAGTGATATTAAACAATCTTATAATTTAAGAAATTACCAACTTTAGAGAAGTTTAATCACTTATATATAATAAATAACCTATTAAAATAGTTTCTTAAATACTTTATAATTAATTTGTAAAAAAATGAAAATGATATTTAAAATTAACAATTTTAATAAGTCCATTAAATATAAAACTAGTCTTAGAAATCCAATTCTAAATTTCTAAATTTAAATTTTAAGAAATTCTGAAATTTCAAAAGAGTTTATTATTATTTTCTTTAAGCAGCTTATTAAATTATTATAATAGACAAGTTTAATAATAAATTATAAAAATAATTTTTTTAATTTTCTTGAAATTTTTAGGACCACTTAAAATTGCTTAATATCCTATTTATTGTATTGTTTTAACTTATAAAAAATTAAAGTTTAGATTTTAATAAAAAAATAAATCCTAATAAAATAAAAATAACTTAATATAACTATTAAAAACAAAACAATTTTAGTCTATAATAAACTTTTTATTTAAATATTTAAATTAAAATTACTATAGATAATTTTATTATTATATACTAATTTTACTATAAATTTTATAATATAATTATAATAATTACTAATTGAAATTAAAAAAGTAAACATATAAATTAGTTTAAAATCAAATATCAGTTAAAATTAAATCTATTTGATTATAACTGATTGGAATCAGTTAAATTAAATCTATTTTAATTTATAACTGATTTAATATATATTAAAAATTAATTAAAATTTAATCTATCTTATTATAGTTGATTAGCATAATTTGATAAATATTATTAATTTATAAAATATAATTGATATATACTTTAAATCATTACTGATAATAATTATTGGTATTATATAATTTAAATAATTATTATATATTTTTAATTTATTTATTTATCAATTAGTAAAAAATTTTCTTTTTAATTTTTTTATTTTAATTTTAATTAATAATTTTAGCATTTCAATTTAAGAAAATTTAATTAAATATTAATTTTTATTAAGATTAATTAAGTATTCATAAAGTAAATCAAATTTTATATAATACTAATAATAATTAAATTTACTTTTTTGCTATTTGATAAAATTTTAATAATTTAATTTAAGAAATTTAACTTCTAAATAAAATTGTTTAATAGAATTGAATTTTTTTTGAATATTAATTTTTATAAATGTTAATTTTATATTTGTAAAATAATATATATTTTTCTTAATGTTATTAATATAAATAATTTATTTTTTTTTTTTTTGTTATTTTAAAAAATTATTAAATAAAGTTGTTTAGCAAATTTAATCTTAATTTTTATTAAAATTAGTTAATGATTTATAGAGTTATTTAAGTTTTTCATAATATTAATAATAAATAAATTTTATTTTTTTATTAATTTAACTTCAATTTGTATTCTTACTAATATATTAATCAATAATAAAATAAAGCTTATATTTAAAATATTAATAAAAGTTATTTTTTTGAGTCAAATTAAACTCTTTATAAGATTTTTATTTGATAATAAATACTCTTATAAATAATCATTATTTTATATATAATTAATATTTTTTTTATATTAAACTTGTAGAAAAATATATTATTAATATTATTATAATAAAATTTAATAAAAAGTTTTCATATAAACAAAATAGACTTTGATAAAGTTCTGAAGAATTTATATAGTTTTACTAAAATAAAAAGATGTTGATAGCTCAAATTTTTTCAAGAATTTTAATATATAGTATCTGGCAAGAAGTCACCGGTCACGTGATTGTTGATTATTATTTGTTTATCTTTAAAACCTGTTATCTTAACCATTTTCTTATTAATACACCTCTAGTTTTTTGCCACGTATTACTAAAATCTTTCTTATTTAAACATAGCTTTTAAAAGAAAAGAACTTTCTATTTTTGAACGTGATGAAGTTGTTGGTGCTTGAAAATGTGAAATAAGCGAAATAAAGATTGGCAAAGCTTTAAACCATCCCCAAAGTACCATTCATAATGTTATTTCTGCTTATAAAATTTGTAGAGACGAAACACTTACTTCTAAAACTAGTAGACCACCTATAATGACTGAAAGAGATAGTCATTATTTGATGAAAATTCTTAAACAAAATAGAAAAATAAACCTTCAGGAATTACATGAAGAATTTGTCAATTCCACTTTAACAAAAGTTAATAAAAAAACTTTAAGCACTTACCTTTATGAATAAGGTTTTTATGGTCGAGTTAGTGTAAGAAAACCGAAAAAAATAAACAAAAAAGACTTGCCTGGGCTAAAGAAAGAAAAGAGTGGGTAAATGAATGGGAAAGTATCATTTAAAGTGATGAATCTAAGTTTGAAGTGTTTGGAGGAAATGGTAGAAGGTGGGTTTGGAGGCGGTTTTATGAAAAGTATGATGTGAAGTGTTTAATTCCTACAGTAAAGTCGGGTCAATAAGGAGTAATGGTATAGAGATGTTTCGCAAAATATAATCTTGGTTTATTAGTAAAATTAGAAGGAAGAGTAACAGCTGCGGTATATAAGAAAGTGTTAAAAAATAATTTAATTCCATTTTTAGAGAGTTTAGATAATCAGGATAATTATTTTTTTTAAGAGGATAACGCTTCTATACACACTGCAAATATTATTAAAAGATGAAAAGTGAAATATAAAGTGAATAGTATTCCTTGGCCTGCACAGAGTCCAGATCTTAATCTGATAGAAAATTTATGGGATGAATTAGAAAGGCAGATGCAGGCACACACTCTATTACCAAAAAACAGAGAAGATTTATGGAAAATACTTCAAGAGGAGTGGTTAAATTTTGATGTTAATAAATATCAAAATCTTGTTGATAGTATGCCTCGTCGAGTTGCTGCTGTTATAAAAAGTAAAGGTCATCCAACAAAGTATTAATAAATAGCTAAAGTTTTTATCGTGTAAATAAAAAAATTTTATTAAATTTGGTACAGCAATGATTGAGTAATTTGAATTTAAAAATTTGCATTAAAATTGATCAGTGTTGCGTAACTAATGATTTGTTGCTGGGCACTGTATTATCTTTATGATAATTAGTATGTGTATTATAATAATGTTATCAATTTTTTATATGATATATTAAAGTTTACTACTTATCTTTTTGAACCTATCATCATCTTATATAACATAAATCTATGAATAATATAGCATTTAGAAATTCATTGTTTAGTATACTAAAGTTATTTGTATAATTTATTAGTTTAAAAAGAATAACTATTATAATACTAATATTATTATTAATGAAAAAATATTGCAATTATTACTTAAAAATAGTTTAATCAAGGATCATCTTTCTTAAATTAAAAATATAAAAGATAACTTTAATAATAATAATAATAATTTTAAAAAATCAATAAATTGGGAATTTAATAAAAATTATATTATTGTTAAAGCTCTGAATGGTTCAGATTAATCTGAAAATTTTCAGTTTAGATCAATTTCGGTTTAGTTTCAGATTGCAAAAAATTCAATCCAAAAATTTTCGATTCAGTTCAGATTTTTTTCGGATTATTAATCTAATCTGAACCAAAAAAAATCTGAATTGAACTGAAAATTTTGGATTACCGTATTCTCCCGATTTTAAGCACCACATTTTTGAAGGAAAAATCGGATCAAATCTTTGGGTGGTGCTTAAAATCGGGAGTTTTTTGTATTACTTGATTTACATGATTTACATAAA